TTCCGCTTCTATTTCCCCAGTCAGGATAAGCAACCTAGTCTTTTAGCAACACTACTCTTTGGGGATGCAAACGTATGCCAAACAAATACATCAGCACTCCAACTATCCAGTAAAGCTCTCACGTTACCTGGATCTTCACTCAGCGGCACATCGTCTGCACAGTCTGCTACCTGGGAGCAAATCGCTCCCACTATCCTCGCACGCGCATAAACAATTTTAAGTTGAATAGAAACAGAGGGAAAGAAGGCAACCCCGATGAACATCCCTTTCCGTAATGAACTCGTGAGAAAGGGCGCCATAACCTCGGCTTCGGCTGCCAGTATGAAGAGATCGTAATGTTGGGATAAACTTCTCGAGCACACCCCTTTAGAAAGAAGCAGTGCTAGAGTTTACGGCGGTCGATTTTGTCAAAAGCCGTTTCCAGGTAGAGCGGGGCAGAGATAGTGGGTCTACGAAAGGAGTGCGTTCTACAAATTACCGCTGAGTGAAAATGTGGTCTATACGACCTCAGCTTGGTCTAAAGCCAGCCTGGTTTTGACGCGTGCACCGCTCACGTGCGGCAGACAACAGACGGGATGAAATATCAGCGAGGAGTTTAAAGAAAATTTTGAATACACCAATTCCGTAGTGGTTTCCACAAAAGAACTGGTCACTTTTCTTGTAATTCGGTATAATGGCCGACTCACACCATGCGTTTGGAACTTGTTCTCCCGCCCATATTGAGCACAGGAGTCTCGTTAACTCCAAAACCAAGACTGAACCTGCTCAAGAATCATGCGAGTCAGGCTATCATCTGTTACAAATTACTATGTTCAAGATACGATCGGTGCTCACTTCGATGGTGGATCGCGGCGAGATGTTGGTGAGGTGCGGCAATTTAGTGACCTGGAGTTTGCGCTGGTGCTCCGTCCTATGAAAGGCTACAAAAGCAACTGTCCCGCAGTGCTCACTCGGACGTATAGAGTAATAAGGGGTTGGTAGTAAGTGATTGAGAACATTTTTTATTATCGAGAATATTTACAGATTGAAGTGGATTAAACATGCGTTCACGCCTCCGATTTGGTCTTTTTAGGAGCCCTGAAAGAGTGGATACTTAACAATAGTAACTTACCTATACTGCGCTGTAACCATAGCATGCCCTCGTTCAAAGGGCTCCAAAGTTACTTGCTCCCTGGGCGTGAACTGAAGCTTTCGCAACGTGTCACCCTCCTTAGCGAACACCACTTCGGGAGCAGCAACCGAATCAATACAAGAAGCCTTGATCGAAATAACAGTATGCCCACCGTTTTTCAAGTAGTAATCTGCATTAACACCCACAATTCGGGATTGATCTGGCTGCGCGACATCCGCGAATATACAATCAACCATACCTTGAAAGCCGATTAGCAAACAAATAGAGGCAGGCTTACCAACTAGCATGCGATATTTGTGAGGGTGGCGGGCATCTTCAATGATGGGCACGATATTCGTGCGATGTTTCGCAACGTTCAGCAGATCCCTTCCAGATCTGTGTGAAAACTCGACAGCGTAAACAACACCATCAGGACCGACTATGTCTGAAACATGAGAAACAGTCGTGCCACTGGCGGCACCCAAGTAAAGAACTCGAGACCCAGGTTTCAT